GTGGCTCGGTGACAGCGCTTACCTTGTCCTGCCTGACCCCCAGCGCATCCTCATCCTCCCCGGGCAGCAATATGAGCGATTGGGATTTGCCCTCCCGCGAGTACTTGGGCCGGATCCTGCGGGCAGAGTCGGGGGTCTGGCAGTGCTCGGGCTCTGCCCGGGGCTCAGCGGCGAGCCCCCCTTCCTCCGATTTACTCAGCGGCTTGCTCGCCTCCCCCGCCTTGCTGGGGGCCCGTAAAATGTCACTGAGCATCGAGCGCCTGCTCCTGGGGGCAGCGGGGCCACCCGCCTCGGGCTCCTTCTCACACCGCGAGCCCCGGCTGGATTTGGGTTTCTTGAAGGCAAAAAAATTCCCGATTTTCTTCTTGAGGGTGCGGGAGCCAGAGGGGGCCAGAGGGGCCGATCCTGGGCAGGTCCCTGGAGCCGTGGGGCTGGGGAGAGATGAAGCATTGGGAAAGGTGAGCTCCGGGGCTGCAGAAGGGCTAGGGATCATATTTCTCCCCTTCCCACCCCAAATCCAGGATCCAGACCCTAGACACCCCACCGGAGATGATGCTGTCCAGGCTGTTCCCAGCGTGGGACCCCATGGGTGCTGCCCTGTTGCTTCCTGGCTATGGGATAAACCCCACAGCCCCTCCCCGGGCTTGTCGGAGTGGGGTGCTGGCCTCATTCCACACCCCATTGCTGCATCCTGCACCCCATGGCCTTATCTCAGCCCTCTCCCACCAGCCTTGTCCTTGGCAATGCCCAAGCTGGGTGCCTGCCGTAAGGAGGGATGTTTTCCCCAGCATCCCTTTGGCACTGGGACCAGCAGCGTGTGCTGGGTGGGTGCAGGGGACCTCCCCGACCCTGCCATGGCTTACGGTAGCTCCTCTGTGATGAGCCTCTTGGCAAAGAAGTCCTCCAACCCCTCGTCCACGCGGGTGATGCTCCTGTCCTCACTGTTCTCACAGGCCACGGGCTGCACCTGCGAGCAAGCACGGCCATCAGCCTGGCGTGGGGCAAAGACATCCCCCGACCTGCCACCCGTGCTTGGGCACCTACAGGGTGAGCAGGATGGGTGCTGGTACCCTCCATCTCACTGTACATCCTGTACAAAAGCCAAACCATGGGGTTATCGGCTCTGCTCCTGCCACATCCCTGGGGCATCAGGAGCTCCGAGCGCACCACAGGCTCCTGCCAGCCCCCTGCACCCCGCTGGGTGCCACGTCTGGGGTGCTGGTGGCTCCCCAGCACGGTGGCTGGGGTACGGCATCCAGACGCACTCAGGCACCAGCGCGTTACACACGGGTAAGGTGCTTCTGACCCTCCTTGGTGACACACAATGACAAATCCTGCTCCTAGAGCTGGGCCAGGTCTCTGACCCTGCTGCCCCCATGGTCCATCTGAGCTTCGTCCATCTGAGCCCCAAGGAAGGGACACCCACGCTGCTGCTGGGTGATGGAGTGGGTGCCCTATGTGGACACACATCTGCGTCCTTCAGGCTGGTGCCCATCCTCAAGTCCAAACTTGGAGTGCCACTACCGCCTGGGTGAAGGCCACCCATTGCCAAGCCTTCCTCCACAGCACCTTCCTCGCCCCGGCGTGTGGCACCGCATCGGTGGCTTCCTATCGACGAGAGGGAGGCGCTTCCCTGTCAGTGGCATTTCAATCCGTAACGACTTTTCATTACGGCTGGGGGGGGGCGGGGCTTCCCAGCGGGTGGAAGGATCCAGCTGCATCACGGTGGCACGGGGACAAGGTGATGCCAGTGGGATCCGGCCCTGGGGACGGCGACAGAGCCGGACTCTCCACCCAAAAGTTACTTTTCCTTTGGGAAGGGAGGGGGCTGTGAAGGCAGCATCCCCAGGTGCTCATCCTTTGGGGGAGGTGGAAAACCCACCCCACTGCAGCCGGTAGAGCCCCACCAGCATCACCA